CTCAGCCATGTCTTTGTCCAAATACGCCTTTTTCTTTTTAGGGCTTTCAGCACACCAAATTGCCAACGCCGTGCATTTCACTCTCGTGAGCTTCATATTCCTCTTCAACTCATTTGGTTTTCAGATAGATGAGTCCGAGTAGCACCATCTCACTGCATAGATTAGTCCGACATGGTTTTTAGACGTATAGTGTGAGCAGGTAGATCGCACCAGAGTGTTGGGTTGCACAGTTTGAGAACATGCATCGGGAGCTGTGAACTCACGCTGTACAACGAAACCGCAGGGTTTCGTGCTAGCATGCTTTAAGTCTGCCACCATCATTTTGGTTCCAAAGAAGCCTCAGATCACCTCACTAAATGACTACCGGGCTGTTGCACTGACACCTATCATGATGAAGTGCTTCGAAAGGCTGGTTAAAGAACACATCGTCTCCAGCCTCCCCCCAACATTCAACCGGTTCCAGTTTGCACACCGACAAAACTGCTCCTCTGAGGACGCCATCTCCTCTGCTCTATACCAGGGCCTAGCACACTTGGAGGAGAAGAACACCCAGTAATCGAGTTGAGGTGGGATGAGGGGGGATAGCATCCCCCTTCTTAAAAAATCTTAAATATCATCCCCTCTTAAGTGACCATCCCCCCCATATCATCCCTGGGACACTTTTATCACTTAATGTGTAAATTTCTATTAAATATCAACAGTAATGGCAATAGTATTGCCCTTTCAACATTTGGCAGGCTGTGCGCTTACGAGTAGCCTGAGCAAAAATGCGATTTAATTTTTGACCTCCGTCGCGCAACCAGCGGAGCAGCACATGATATTCTGAACAGCATCACGTCCAAGCGGAAAAGACAATGCGATTTGAGCGCATGGGAGAAAAGCCGGGGATCACTGCTGCACTTTAAGGAATGGAAATATGATTCCGTATACACTCGGTGGATACAACAAGATAATAAAAGTTGTTTAAGTCTAAGTCTAATCTTTTCCAGAGCTAGAGTACATCACCTGGATTGATTAGAATGGGCTAAGTCGAAGTTCGAACCTAAAAGAGGTCTTAATATTGATATCCAAACCACTCTGACTAAACTTTTGTAATTTGTACAGAACAATATTTTCCTCAGTTTGTAGATGTACAAAGTTGGTTGCAGCCATAAACAGGGCAAATGGTGTGTCTACATGGCACTGAATTCAGATGTTTTTACTTGTAAAACATCTCCAAAAGATTAATCCTTTTTTTCCCCCTACATTGTGCTGTTGAAAAAAGACGATTACAATGGGAAACATTTTAAAGGGCTCTAAAAGTGTTTACAAGGCACTGTTTTCAAAGACCAGTCAAAAGTAAGTTTAACTTGGTGAAGAAAAATGTGCAATCAATAAATTTGGTCTGATAATATGACATTTCTCCTTTTAAATTTAAGCATTTAGAGAATGACAATTTCTGCTTTACATCAGGAGTTTCAGGCTGTTACCAATCAATGTGTTTAATAGCTGCATGCTGTAAAACTTTTGCAAAGAATTAGAGAATTGCTTCATCCAAGAGTCGGATCTTTATTTTTTTTGCATCTGGAATTGTTTTATTTAGCAGATTAGGGATGTAGTTTGGGAATGGAGGAACACAGATACTAAAGAATGAGATCTCCAGCTGCACTGATGAGCTGTAATCCAAAGGGACCCTGACAGATGAACCTCAAGATGCTCATATGTACAACTGTGATTTCCCTTGGAATAAAGAATAATATGATGAAGATGCTATTTTCATGCCAGTAGAACCTCTGTTGCCCTCTGTGCTTTGGGTGACCTTAGCTGAATCAAGACAGAGACTGTGTTGGAGCCAATATTAGTTTGCTGTAATGTGTGATGGAAGTGGACAGCATGTCTCTGCTTTTCATCTTCATGACTGCATATTTTTCACAATCTACCTTGCAGCACCTGAGGTTTTTCAGGAATTCCCCGAGGTACCTAGAGGAAGACAGGCCTGAAATTTGGCTGCACCTGGATGTAATCATTACCCAGATGATGGATGACAGAGGCAGCCCTGAAAGGGAGCTGCTGGACTTTATGAAGGAGCTTCGTCCTGCTAGGATTTCTCTCAGCTCTACAACCAACATCTCTAACTTTGCAAACCTGGCCCATTTGAGAGAAACAAATCATATGACTCTTGTTGTGGTTGGAGCTTAAAACCTGCCTAATTCATCTTTTTTTTTATTAAATATTTATCATAATTTATGACTATATACTTTACAGATTAGTTTAGTTGAGATTTTCAGGACCCATTTGAAGGAACTTTAGAGCAGTCATACAAAATCAGCTCAAATATTATCTCTTTGTGTGTTAATTGGTAATATGAAGCACATATATATGTTTGTTCCAGTAGCCCATTAGACATCAAGGTGCTCTGGTTCCCCAACACCTGATGCAGATCTTGTTTGGCTGGGCGAAGTCCGAGCTGGCATGTCATTTATTACATTAAAAGAAAAGTTACAGCTAAACAGAAGAGATAGATTACAAGATTTCCTAAAACAGCAAATAAGTTCCTGTTACACCATCTACTTTTTGACAATTATTTTACAATTCGGGGCGTATTTTCCTGAACTGAGGTAACATTGCTGTTGGGCTCAACTGCCAGGCTCCAGCCTGCAACCAAGTACAGGAAGCCTGTTGACCTCAACACTGTCAGCTAGTGCAAACAAGTAAGAGAAGATTTTGTCTTCTAGAATCTATCTAAATGTAGATTTCACCAGTAGGAAATCCTTCCTATTTGCATTTGCTGCAATGACAAGAAGGACATTAAGTTATATTGTTTTAAACTGCAAAAAAAGTAGATCTAAATATGTAATTTTTTTTCTTAAAATAAGTGAGACACTTTGACAATGGAACACAACAATTTACTTTTAAAATAAGAAAAAAATAATTGTATTGTCTTATTTCAAGTGCATATTATCTACTTTTCCTGTTTTAAGAGTAAAAATTCGAATTCCATTTGCATATCATCTTATTTACCTACTCAAATTAAGGGTAAACACACTTAATTTTAAAGATTTCTACTTATTTCTAGGTCCTTTTTGCAGTGTAGAGTCACTAAGAAGATCATGTTGGAAGTTAAACTGTTTGATGATAGTAGTAATAAACACAATTTCACTTCGTTCACATTCGTTTTATACTCTTTGAATTACAGGAAGAAGACAGAATTGTCTAGATGCTAACTGATGCTGTAAAACGTGTCAATAATGTCCAAAAGGATGCAGTGAGTTGTTCAGCCCTGCTCAGTTTTGTGCATAAGGACAGACGTGCAGCAGCGAGGGTTCAGAATCAGTTGCAGAGTGTAGTTTCAGCCAATGTAAACTTGAATGGTGAGCAAACCTGAAAAACAATTACAACTGCAAAAAAAGTTAGTAATAAAACGTATCATTTTAACGTAAAAGTAGCAGCCTGACAACCCAGCAAATGAGAAAATGGATAGAGGACTTGCAGGGTTGACATTATGTATTGGAAATCTGAAAATAATGTGACCGTATAAGGTTATTGATAATCAGAAAGAAAAACAAACATTCCAGGTTTTAATGATCAGGGTTTTTTTTCGTCCCTAGCCCCTGTTTAATGACTGCAGCTGTTAACGCTCCACAGCAAAACATTACTAAACAATGGCTTTTCTAGCATTAGAGAAGCAATGTTTAAGTGATACTGTATTTCACAAAGTTGAAATGACCTTTAACTGAGTAGCAGTAGGGAAAAAAACACCTTTACAACAATTTTCTTCAGTTTTAAAGACATAGGTTTTTCGCCTCACCAGTTACCAGAAACATACAGTGCTCCCCGTCAGGTATTGATTATTTGCAGTTTTGTTCTAGCTAAGTGGCCTTTTAAACTTATATTCTGTGGAGACTTTGTTATAGCATTTGGTTTGTATGTAAGATTTGGTTAACATGATTCATTGAAGCACTAAGGACACCAGAGATACTTGCTCTGATGAACAGTTTTTAGCATACCTGGGATTTTTTTAGGAGTATAACCCAAGAATAACTAAGATGTCCATCTGAAATTACATTTATTTTTAAAAATGTATGTTTTTCTTTTCACTCAGTAAGATAAGAATCATTAATATTAACAATAGAATTATAGATATTTTAAAAGTATTGTGGAGGATTTTCGCAAACAACCCTGTATTCGCTCCTTAGAGGGAAAGCCTATTAAACACGTGCAGGAGCATTCACAAGCCCATTTCTCCTTGTGCACGCTCTGTTTAAAAGTTTCTGTTTTTATCGCTCATACAAGCCTACTTTCCAAAAGAAGATTTGCAATTTTCCTACTATGTCAGACTCACCACCTGTAAGTGAAAATGGGGACGAGCATGTAGGACGGTCTTACGTAAAGATACCACCAGAATGATTGACAATTAGGAGGACCATTTATGATCCGCCTAGAAAAAGAACATCCTCCAATATATTCTATTCTATTCTATTCTATTCTATTCTATTCTATTCTATTCTATTCTATTCTATTCTATGGTTTTAAGTTTATTTGTAGTAATTTTGTGGATCACTACAAATAAATAGAAAATGTGAATATAATACCTCTCCTTAAAAGGATGATGTGAGAAATGGTTGCTGGTTTGTTGTTGATTTTAGATTAAAAGCCAAAAACATGAAGAGGATTTGGGGATAACCTAAATATAATATATCATAAAAATTAGGATAATTCTTATGTGAAATAATATGTTTTTTATTTATTTATTTATTTATTATGTTGTAGTGACACCCCAATGAGTAGGAAGCCAATTTTCATTTAAAGTCTGGTATTTTGACAAGTAGGGGAAAAAATTGCTGTTATCTTTAATGAATGATGGCAAACAGAGGACATATTTTAATCTGTACATTTGTGTTACCACTACATTTCAAATTATAGATACTACATCTTATGTTGCGAGTTTCTTGATTAAATCAAACAATAGCTTGCCGTACTTTACTTTTAGCCGTCTCGCGCGCGCCCCTCCTCCTACAGCTGACGGCTGTTCATGGTGCCCGGAAGTGCTCCTTGTTTTCCAGCTAGTCGGATAATGAGGAGGATAACTTGTTTAATGCTCAGCTGCTGGGAGAACACTCTAAGCGGTTAAAGGTAAAATAAAAACAGTGAGATGTAATGTGCCACGGTATCGAGTTATTTGTCTGAGAGGACTGTTCCGATCTGGTTTTAACCTGAACACGGATGCTAACGCTAGCAGTCAGCAGTTAGCTTTGTGTTTATCATTAAAGACTTGAGAGGGTTTCATTAACTGCGCTTTTCAAACTTTAAAGGGATGGTATTAGACAGCTGCGGCAATTATGACTTTATTTCAGTTTGTTACAAAGAAAACAAGCGCTAATAAAATGTTAAGCTAATCTCAGACATGTTTACCTTTTAGCTTTTTCTCAAAATAATAGGACCTTAACCATCTTGTTTTTATTTATGTTTCAGGTAAGCATTGGATCATTCTTGTTTGAGGACACTTATGTTTGCATAGCACCAACCCTGGAGTTTGTTTAGTTTTTTGTTTTTTTTAACTGGCCACTTTGTTTTGTTTTTACTAAAGAAAACAGTTTACTAGTCTAAATTTGACTAAAATAACCAGCAGGTTTTGTTCAGGAGAGAATGACTTAGAAAGCAGAGATATACTCAGTATTTAGTACCTGATCCCAGTTTGATGGACCTATTTTATTTTTGCTTTCTGTTTTATTTTTTGCCAAGCTCCCATTGAAACAATAAAGCACATAAATGATAGTAAATCAGCTGCATGTTTAAACTTGTTCTCTGATCATTTCCCACAGACAGCCATTGTGGACATGGACAATTACAGCAATGCTCGGCCATGGGGGAAGCTCGTCAAAGTGGACTCAAGTGAAACTATTCTGCTTTTCACTAAGGAATGCACAGTCGGCAGAAAAAAAGGTAGGAAAAGGTTTCAAACAAATACACACCAAAAAAATATTTTATTTCTATTTTATGCTGGGACTTACTGAGTGTTTATCCCAGTTTTTAAAATGATCTTACTAATAAAAAAAATCCTTTTAAGGGGAGACATCAGATGTTTCTGCCAATGTCTGGAGCCTTTATAACCTCCCCCTTGAAAACACAAAGCCTCCTTTAGTGCCCCAAACTTAGACAGCCCCTTGTGATGAGAACAAAAGATTTCTATTGACAACATGCGTGCAGAATATTAAGTAGAGGTTTTTTTGTATGGGTTTTGCTTTAGAGGTGGTTAGGGCTATACATCCCCCTGTGTGTGCTTTGTTGTTAAGAGCTTATGGGAATCTACTTTTTTTTTTTTTTTTACAATGCAAAGCCATTGGAGTTTGCACAGCTTAGTAAATTACTCACTGTCTCTGTCTGGGTGATTAGATTCAAACGCATCATGGTAGCTTAATTTTAGGTGCAAGGTTGGATGGATACATCAGCAGTTTGGGCTGGTGTTAGCATTTCTTATATTTCATGTATAGACAGATACATGCATGCGTTTGCTGATTCATTGGTGCATTCAGCAGCCATGCCGATCATGCCGCTATTTCTACTCTCATTTCTCTATTGTTTGAATCAAGACTTATCTTAAAATGTATTTCTGTGTCTATTCTAACCTGAAAATGGAGGGATAAAGAGCAATATTAGCTTAAAAGAATTGCAGCACATATCTTGGATTGGTTGGACTGAAGTCAAAGTAATTAGCATTAAAAAGCCTGCATCGGTCCTAGGGGTGTAAATAATGATCGTTTTGTATGGATGCATCGATCCAACAGCCGATGATCCGATGCATCGAAACGTCCTCAAGAGTAGGCCTGTCGTGATAATCAATAAATCAATTAATCGCACGATAAATAAAAACTATCCAC